CATCTCTCCACTTTCCATGGCATTTATATTCCAAGTAATGGTGTAACTTCCACCATCTCTTGTGATTAACACTCTATAGTGCTATGCATTTAGATCATGATAATGAGATTTCTTGTAACCCTTCTATTAATAAGAAATTAATCCTTGTAACCTCCATTTAGTGAGTATTTTTCTTTTTTTGATCATCCCATTTAGTGAGTATTTATTCTTTATAATTCCTATCATCTATTGGCTCTCATATATAAAACTTATACTCTTGCAAATGAATAAAGAACAAATGGAGAACAAAGCTTGAGCCAGATGGAAAGTAATTTAAGGAAAGAGGAGATCTATTCTTCTTATATAACCCATTCAGATGTATCAAAAAAAATAGAGGAGAAAGGAATAGAACTCATTAATTAAAAAACTTAATTGAGATTATTATGCAAATTAACTCATTAATTAAGGAAAAAACTAAAATGAATATTTTATTATAAATTGAAATATTGAACTGTCTTGTAGATCAATATCACACCTTCGTATAATTTTGAAATGGCTTGAGAAACAAAATAAGATTCATTCTTGGGACTTTGCTAAAAGAAAATCATGAACAATTTGGATATGGTGCAAATGAAAATTATCATCAAAATAATAGCATCCCATCTCCATTCTAAATGATACATGGAAAGACTGTCTTAGCAAGAAATAGATACATACAACAACAACTATGAAGTACTGTTAAGATGTGAACACAATAATTTGGATTATATTTACATTTATTGTAAATATTTTATACCTTAAAATATTTTCTTTATATATTTTATATCTTAGAATATTCTCTTTATAAACACCTATATATAGCTCATTGTATATTCAGTATTATTCAAGAAAGAAGTAAACATTTCTTCAAATATTTCTCCTTCCTTTCTATTTCTAACATGGTGTCAAAGCTATAAACTCCTGGTTCTTCTTTTATCACTACTTGGTTATTGAGTTAGATATCTGAAACTTTGTCATTGAGTTCTCTTCTCTTGCAGATTGGATTGTTTATTCTCAATTCTCACGTTTTTTTTTTTTGAGGTATTTTGTTGAGCTGTAATTTCGATCTTTGCATCTATTTTTTCATATTTTTAGAGATTTTTTCAGTATTGTAAGTTCAACTAATTCTATGATAAGTTTTGAAAGAACTGTAACTCATCTTGTTGTTGCAATGGTCGCCAAAGAGGCAATAGACCAACCTATTGTCAACCATGAATCTCTAAAATAGGTGATATTAAATTTTTTTAATGCTTCTACTACCTTATCTGCTACTCTAGGTACTAAACTTTGGTATTTTGATTCTAGTTGTTGTAATCACATGTCTTTAACTACTACTTATATCTCTTCAATATCACCAAAGAATTCATTTCTTGACATTTATTCTGCTGATGGCTCCTTTTTGAATGTTAGTTACATTGGCAATATTTCTACAAATTCATTGACTTTACCAAACGCTTTCTTGGTTCTAAAACATAGTGATAATCTTTTATCTATTGGTCAGTTATGTGATCTTGGTTTTGAAATAACATTTTTTACTCATAGTTGTTGTGTGCAGGACCCACAAACAGGGCAACTTTTTGAAATTGGTCGCAAGGTGGGTTGTCTGTTTGAACTCAATTATCTGCGTATACCTCATCATAAAATGGATACACCATCATTTTCAATGACCGATTTATCCAAACCCTACTTTGTACTACTAAATTAGAGTTTTTGCAAATTCCATATCAATAAATCTTCCAAACCTGTGTTGCTACTAATATTTCTCCTCTTTGTTTATGGCACTCATGGCTTGGACACACCTTAGTTGGTAAACTACATCCTCTTATCTCTCATGGTTTATTAGGATCTATTCTGAATGAATCCTTACATTATGTGTCATGTCAATCTGCAAAACAACCAGCTTTATCGTTTACTAGTAATCATTCTCTTTCTGCTACTTCTTTTGATCTTGTGCATTCTGATGTTCGGGGTCCATCTTCGACACCTACCATGGGGGGTTTTAGGTATTTTGTGTTATTTATTGATGATCGTACTCATTTTACCTGGATATATCTTATGAAAAATCGCTTTAAATTACCACAAATTTATATTGATTATGTTACCATGGTCAAAACCCAGTTCTCTAAAATTATCAAAGTTTTGAGAACTAAAAATGCCACTGAATATCTTAGTACTAAACTTCAATCCCTTTTTAAAGAACATGATACATTGACACAACAATCTTGTCCTTACACTTCTGAACAAAATGGGCGAGCCGAACGTAAACACAGACACATCCTTAATTATGTTCGTGCTCTACTCATTTTGTCTTCTTGTCCAAAGCAATTTTAGGGTGAAGCAGCTCCTATAGTTGTTTATCTCATTAATTAGATTCCATCATCGGTCATCAATAATAAGTCTCTGTACAAATGTTTGCATGGTATCCCTCTTACCTGTGATCTTCTTAAGGTCTTTGGTTGTACTTGTTTTGTTCTTTTTCCACCTCATGAACATGATAAACTAGAGCTAAAGCTCAGTTATATTGTTTTTTGGGTTATGGGATTACACATAAAAGATATCATTGTTAGGATATTGTGTCACAAAAACTTCAAGTCTCATGTCATGTTATTTTTTGGGAATACACTATGTTTTCCTCATTATCAAACTTCCAGGTGTCATCTTTTGTCTAACAATGTTTTTCTTGTTATCAGACAGTTCATCACATTCTAGCACAAAGGTTGAATATTGAGCACTTGGAGACACCACATTAGAGTTACTTAATTTATGTTGGCTACTAGAAAATATGGATGTTTCTCAACCACTTGTTACTGATCTTTATTGTGACAATTAGAGTACCATGCAAATTGCTCATAATGATGTCTTCCATGAACGCACTAAACACATTGAGGTTGATTGTCACTTTGTTCGCCATCATGTTGCACAAGGAACTGTTCATTTGATTTTTATTAGCTCCGCTAATCAATAAACAGACCTTTTCACCAAGGCTCATTTCCTAGACACTTTCGTACTCTTCTTTCCAAACTCAAGTTGGTTTCATTACAACCACCTTGAATTTGAAGGGGGATGTTAAGGTGTGAACACAATCATGTAGATTATATTAACACTTATTGTAAATATTTATACCTTAGAATATTCTTTTTATAAACACCTATATTAACACAATCATTGTACGTACAGTATTATTCAAGAAAGTAATAAATCTTTCTTCAAATATTTCTCTTTTTCTGTATCTAACAAGTACAAATTAGGAAGCAAACCATAAAACCTCCTGCTCAAAAGTTCCATTAGAGTTCATGGTTTTTCCCTTCAGAAACTGGGAGTACCAATTAGCAGAGAGCTTAGGGTACCTTCGCAAATCCGGATCATCCAAATCTACATAGTAGAGGCCGTATCCTGATTGATAGCCATCCAGCATCTCAAGTACATCCAAGAAAGACCATGTGAAATAACCTCTTACATCCGATCCATTCCTTCAAAATGTTATAGAAGAGTAATAGAAATTATGTCAGATCATTGAAGACCGTTCATAAGTTCATTGCTTGGTAGACTTTTGTGGTCAGTAGAAATGTATACCTAATGGCATCAAGCAAACTTCCAATGTATGCAGACAGAGATTTGATCCTCGGCCAATCCTCCATTGAAGAATTGCGCCATATCCGTTGACCTAGCAAGCATGCAATGCTAAGT